TCGACCATAAGGCGCTCTGAGATTCAACTTGACCGGAGATCACACAGCCGACGGCCATGAATACCATCACCCCGACAAGTGGGCTCGACTTCCTCGTGCGCCAGGGCATCGAGCACATGCGGGAGAAGACGGCGAGCCCGGACAACGGGGACGGAGGCAACCCAACCCCCCTGTCCCCACGATCCTACCGCTCCAAGCCGCGCAGCGGCGAGTACTCGTGCTTCCAGCTCGACCTCTCCGAAGAAGAAGAAGACTCATCACCCATTGCCCGACTCCTGGAGCTCCCCAACGAACTCCTATACATGATCGCCGCCAACCTCGGCTTCGGCGACATGCAGCGCCTGCGCCGCACCTGCCGGCCCCTGCGCTCCCTGCTCAACCCGGACTTCGTCCGCGCCCACTTCGGCGGCGACGCCCTGTTCGTGCGCACGCTGACCTCGCACTGCGCCGCGTGCCTCGAGCGGCCGGGCCGCGGCGCCCTGGTCCTGCAGGACGCAGGCCCGCCTAGCTCCAAGTGCTTCCCGTGCGCCGTCGCCACCCGCGACCTGCGCGTCGGCACCAGCCTCCTGCTCGCCAACGCGCGACCCGCCTGGGTGTGTCGCTGGTGCGGGTGGCCCGTGGCCGGGCCCGCGGCGTGGGCCCACGCGCAGTTCCACGCCGCGTGCTACGACCGGTATTACCGCGTGCTGTGGGGGTTTTTGTGGATGGGCTTCGCGCAGTTCGCGGCGGGCGTTGTAGCGGCTGCGCTGTCGCTTGTGTACTTCCGCGATGACTTGCTGGTCTTCCCGCCGGCTGTCGCGTCGTTTGCGCTGCTGTGGGTTTGCATGGCGTTTCTGGCCTTTAGGGGTAATCGCGTGCGCACGTACTGCTGGGTCGGGCTCTTGGAGCTGGTTATCCTCGCGCTTTGGATCCCGCCGGTTTATGCGGTCGCGAGGGGCGTGGCTGCTGGGTTCGTTGGGAGGAGTGCTGTTGCGGCGCTGGTTTTTTATGGTGTGAATATGTAAGTATTCCTTTTCGTTTGTTAGGTGACCTTTCGTCTATTTCTACTTACAAGAGTCAACAACTCGACTTAATCAGTCGCCAGAGGAATCGATTAGTTAACTATGCGCACAGAATGTTTCGGTTGCTAAATGTCATTGGTAATATCGTGCTGATGTGCGAGTACGATATGACGAAGCATCATGCACCGCAACTATCCCTCAAGAGGCGGCTGCTTAATTTGCTCATGTCGGGGCTGATATACTGGACGTATCCCCAATGTGTGGAACAAAGATACCCGCCAGATTACAATTGATGAGAAAGTTTTGATCTGTTAGTATATGTTCAAGTTGCTCTCATAAGAAGGGTTGAAGGAAAGCTCTTCGGGAACCAACAGCCTGTATGCGCCCGTGTTACTACTGAAGTCCCGATTGCTGATCTCCCGGCGACACCAAACTCCACGATCCAAAAGTGGTGTATGCTCATATTTATGCTCACTCTAAGGGCCACCTTCCTTTCCTAGCGTATAGACACAAATCCTCGTCTTATTTGACTTATCCTTTAGCTGCCCGAAAGTATAGAGTAAATCCATTTCTCGAACCTTGCTATCCCTCTCCTTTGGCTCTAGAGTGCTAGGGCCTTCGAAGTTCTTAATAATGGTCGAGTCAAGATAGTATAATGATCCGGCGATGGTACCAGGATCTACTGGCATGTTGGGCCAGCTTACAAAGAAAGAGCCAATCAGTACCATCATCATCAAACTCAGGAGAGCTACAGCTATCCAGGCGCATATTTCGTGGGCTATGTGGGTATGAACAAGGGCTGAAGGGATGTTACCGAGTATAATAGGGAGGAAGTTCGATGTTATTATGCTAACGGCCACGGTCGCCAGGTAGAAATCTCGCCTCCTGATCCCCGCCCAAACCCCCGTGAACGCGTCAATGGCCAGTTCTAAGAGAACCGAGTTCCGAGCTATTTGCAGTGAAGCGGCAAGTATTCTGTGCGGGCTTACAATAGCAACGCCAGAGAAAAAGGCTTCCCAGAAGGAGCTAATGATGACTCCGATGGAAGTGAAGAGAAACCGGACGCCTAAGTCCTCGCTATCCATAAATGTCTCGAAGGAGTTCGTCCAATAACCGCTTTGGTAGTACACAATAAGTGTCAAGGTGCCGCTTAGAAATGCAAGAAATAAGCATCGGGCCCAGTAGCTCAGCGCCGGTGTTGGGAAGTGGTGTGGTCTTGCAAACACTCTTCCAGTTACCCGTGATGTGTTGGGGGAAGAAGCGCTCTTGGGGGTTTCGGTGAGTGCGGCTTGCTTGTCCCTAGGACATATGCCATACCCCGAACGTCCTTCAATATCATCATCCCAATATTGAAGCTGAAACCTAGCGGAACTAAGCACGTTCAGCGTAGCCCTGCCAAAAACTTTCTCGGTACCAGCAAAGCTGGATATGATGGCACGCATAGCAGCATTCGTTGATAAAGAAGCCAGACCACCAAGATTCCAGGGGTTTGAGAAGACTCCATATCTCCAATTCTTCAGAATGATGGAGATAGACACTATTAATACTAGAGTGAGTGCTAGTAATGCCAATGTAGCCTTAGCTAAATAAGGGGATAGGCCAAGTGAGAGAGCACAGTTATCGATATTTCTGCGTCCCTCCTCACATCCATGGAGTCGAACTGCGATCGACTCTGAGGGAAATGGTGCTAAGAGGACTGCGGAAAAGTTTAGCATCATTATAAGAATTAGTAAGATCTTATCCTTCGACGGGTGTCGGAAAGCGTTGATCATTTGAGTCAAGCTTCCAGGCTTGGCCAAGAGCGATTCTTCTGCTGACGCCCCAGCCTTCCTCGGTAAAGCGTGGAATGGATACATCAGCTTTATGCTTCGATCCAACAGTCGAATAGGAATCAGGAGCGTAGTAGCTAGAAATTGAGGTAGGAACATGTCCACGAAATATTGCCCAACCGTCATCACGTACACAGTCGTTTCGACTTCCGGACTTTTCGCGGCGGTTGGATGGTACACTACCATAGTATGATACTTTGAGGAAGTATATAATGATACTGTTCGTGTGGGATTACCACTCACCCTCGTAAGTGGCGGAAATCCGGTGAGATTGTTAGACGTTCTTGTGTTGGAATGCCCTAACTTGGAGGTCGTTGATTTAAAGGTGTTCAAGAGTGCCAAACTGGACGAAATCGCTAAGAATTCTATCCTTTTTGTTGCTGTCGATGTTCCGTTCGCGACCGTTTCAACCAATAAGAATGCCCTTCGCAAACTCTTCGAGTCTAGTACTGATATCGTTCCCAGTATGCTTGGTGTAGCAGTGAATGTTGCGCGTACTTTGTTCGTAAAATTGACTGCCTGCGAGTTGTCCCAGTATTTTGCTATTGTTTCTGTCGGCTTACCCAGAGGATCAACTAACGTTGAAAGGAAGATAGCCGAAGGTAGTTGAATAGACTGTGAGGTATTGATATACTTCACAATCATGACTGTAACCTCAACCTCACTAGGAGTGAGTGCTTTAGCATGGTGGATCTCCATGCCTCCTTTTTGCTCGGGGTTATCATATGCACTGGAATCGGAGGTAGGGTGTCTGGTTACGGGAGTGATAGTATTTGACATTAGGTATTCCGTTTCGGTTTGGACCACAGCTTCAGGGGTGGGTGTCGGCGACAGCTTGTTCGTTTGCGTTGTACCATCGAATGTCTGAGACGTTTGTTCTACTGTACTAGCTAAATTGCTAATATTTATCGTCGTTGTATACTCCTGAGGTTCAATTTCAGTAAGTAACATGGATTCCATACCAAGAATCTCCAACAACTTCCCATCGGTAACGGTAACGGTTACCGTCCCTATATATATTCGACTTGTCGAGGGCAGATTTTGAAGCCAAATATCGACTAAAGCGGCCGGTGAGTAATGAGATGGCGCGTAAGTTGTGCCGTGCTGTCGAACAACTATATCTATTTCTATACACCGCTTGGGTATCGGCAGAACACCCAACACTGCCGGAATAGTGAATACTCATCACGAACTTGTACTACCCCACAATCTTCCCTTTCTATAAACAGACACGAGATTCAATATTATAACCCTCTTGCAAAACTAACACTCGATGCTACATTTAACCCGTTGGATCTCTATTCCCTCAGCCATTGCTCCTGCTTTAGGTATATACCTAGGTACTTAATGTGTCATGGATTATTTAAGAGCCTTTCCGCATGATATAGGTCTCAAACATTAGCTCCTATGTCCGGTGCTGCGTGAGTGGAAAGACAGGTTGCTCATCATAATTGCTTCTGAAGATATCTGACCTGTCAATCTCTGGGCCCAGCTCTGAAAATACACAGTAACTATGGCCTGTGTCCAATGAGGCTTCTGTAACACATTTCACGAATGGTTGACTATATTTCCCATCTTGCCGGCCGGTGCGTTAACCCAAGACTCGGCTACCTTTAATTCCTCATCCCAACTAAGGTTGTCGTTAAAGTACCGTAAAGGCTTAAGCGAGAGAATGAGTTGAGGCAGAGCACGTGCATCTACGTGTGTCCTTCCTACAACCCGACCCTTTCTGTCTTGTGTAGCTAAGTCGCACGCATTATGATGACTCTTGTGGTAGGTCGAAATAGGGCTTATAAGCTCTAGAATGCTGTCCGGTAAGACGAAATTTGGCAACTCGCCTCTGAATGCGCAAGATAGGGGTGAGGTCTTTTGCTAAGGGATGACTGGTCTCTTACAACGGACAGGCCAGCCAATGGAAAATGCACACAGCCACGTGAGTACAGAGATGCGGAAAGTCCCGGCGTTTGGCGTTGACACGAATCCGGGCTATCGGGCCCAAATGACCCACACCACAAAGCCCAACTATTCATGTTACAATAACGCAGGGTTTCAACCAATCAGCCAAGAGTCGATCCTGTTCTGCTGGCGCAATGGTAGCGCGTCAGACTTCTAATCTGAAGGTTGCCGGTTCGAGCCCGGCGTAGAATGCTCTTATACTTTTCACTTTATAGGGAGTTTGGCCGAGTGGTTAAGGCGCTGTGTTTAGGTCTCCTGTCTTTACGGACACCTGAAATCCCGCAGTGGGAAACCGCGCAGGTTCGAATCCTGCAGCTCTCAATAAACTTTTTGCATGGCTCCCCTGAAGGGTGTGATAGCTTGTTGCTCGACTTCACATTTTGGAGACTTTTTTAGCCTCACAGTGTGAATATTCGAAGACTGACAAATTCAAGTCAAGTCTAACGGCAAGCAGCCTTTAGCGGCGGATTGTTTGTGCCCTTTCCGTTGTCTGACGCATTTAGTAGTATTAGCTAATAGGGGGATTCTCTAATCGAAATTAACAGGAAAGGGGTTATACATTTCACAGATTGTCACCATAGCAGAGGCGAATCGTTGACGAACGGGAGACGACACAATCCTACTTCTATTTCTCAATCTCATAATAAGTTGGGCTTTCAGGAGTCGCGAAGTATTCCTTGCCTATCAAATTATCTTTATAAGACAACAGGAGCGTAACAAGATTATTCACAGTAAAGTGTACAATGAAAATCAGTTATAATCATAGATCTTTCTTTTGCCAATAACACCCACGTGCTGTCGTACATGTCCATATATTGCTGGCCGAAGATAGATTAGTGGCATATGATTTGCATGTGTCGTCATGCTGGGATCTCTCTCCCCCCGGATCCGAGCAAATGGATAGACGTAGTTTACGTTACATTACGCTCTTACGTGCAAGATGCGTAGGAAGCCCATAGCAGAAATTGCATACCAAGAATCGCTTTCTATAGCAACTTATTGTGTCCTATACTAATGTGTGAAACGCCCACGTGGGGTTGAGAAGGAATCCTATAGGGCTAGCTGCGACTATGATGTGCCACGCTGGGCATGTAGCCAAGATTCAGCTAAAGGTTCCGCCAAGAGCCTCAAACTGACGTTCCCTTATTCTTCGGGTAAAATAAAGATCTGCCAAGGGAACCGTCAAGTGGCAGCTATTCTTGGCCACTTTTGACCGACTAACTTTCTAGATGGCACCGAGCAGCCTCAGACATCTCGCGAGGGGGCTTATTGAACCATGGATAGAGACCTGGGCCATCAACGATAGCCGTCCGCGACGTTTGAAGGGTCTATGTCCGTCGAGGCCAAAGGATAGGTCAGGCTCATACTTATCTCCTCCGCATATCACATGGCCAGGTTTTCACAGCTACTCTCGGCAAACGTTATAATCAACTCATTACACAGGATGACGTCCAAAGGGCCAAGAGCCAAGAGCGTGCGGGATACACCCAAAAGGTCCCTTACCGAAGCATCAACCCACCAAGTTGTTGAAGCCTACTTCTCGCCTTGGTAGACCACGTTGCATCCATACGACCTCACAATTGGCCACAGGCGTTTTCAGCTATACGAAACTGATCGAAGTCGCTACTGGGATATCATAGCTATAAGAGCTTGTAGGGCAGCTGATGTCCCCGTTGACGAAATTGCCAATGTAGATACCTCAAATATACGGTACTTAGCCCTATGCTGGTCAGCTCATACCAGACCTAGGGTACTTCTCACTGTCGAACTCGAGACATACAGTATATAATCTGCTTCCATCCCAGATCATATCACCCCTTCAGCAGTCTCAGCTCCTGGGAGCAGCACTCGATTTACCTTCGGCCTATATTCAACTCTAAGTCAAAAATGGTGTTGGTCGAATACGACTACCTCTTCGCTATTGGCGTAATATTCGCCTTCCTCGATGCTTGGAACATCGGTATGCCTTGTCCCCCTATCCACGTATACGTATTCGAGCGAGAAGCTGTTACTGACATTGGTTAAATCATAGGCGCTAACGATGTTGCCAACTCGTGGGCGACCTCGGTCGCTTCCCGCTCGTTAACACTGATCCAGGCCATGATCGGAGCGAGCATCATGGAATTCGCGGGAGCCCTCGGTGTGGGAGCGCGTGTCGCTGATACGATCCGGACCAAGATCGTCAGCCCGGATCTATACAACGGTTCTCCAGAAGTCTTAATGCTTGGAATGCTCTGCGCCGTGGTCGCCTCCTCCATCTGGCTGACCCTAGCTACGAGAATCGGTCTCCCGGTATCCACCACTCACTCTATCATGGGAGGTGTTATCGGAATGGGTATTGCTTCCGTAGGTGCGGGCAGGGTCACATGGGTCGCACCAGCAGGCACTACAGGAGCCGACGTGATCAATACCGGCGTGGTGTCCGTCTTCCTAGCCTGGGTTATTGCTCCCGGTCTTTCGGCCATCTTCGCTTCCATCATTTTCCTCATCACCAAGTATGGGGTCATGCTGCGAAAGAATCCAGTCATGAAGGCCTTCGCTCTTGTTCCTGTCTACTTCGGGTTCACCGCGTCGCTCCTGGTCATGCTTCTTCTGTGGAAGGGCGGGGCGTACACGATTAACCTGGAGGATAACGAACTGGCGGCCGTCATCGTCGCCAGCGGCATAGGCTGGGCTGTTATCATCGCGCTATTTCTCATGCCCTGGCTGTGGCGTGTGGTCGTAAAAGAGGACTGGCAACTCCGATGGTACCACATCCCCCTGGGCCCCTTTCTTCTGAGACGAGGCGAAGTCCCGCCACCACCTACCAACTTTCAAGGTGCCATTCGCAATTTTTATGAAGGCCATCTCACCAGAGAGGAACTCGAGGCCAAGCGTGCTGCTACGATTGCTCGGAATGACATAGAGGCAGCTGGCGGTAAGGAGACAGCGAATGAAGCCAACATCGCCGATGCTATCGTCAAGTCCTCGAAGCAGTCGGATGCCGGATCTGACGAGTTTGCTAACGTGCCCGAGAGGAAGTCGTTAGTCGGTCCCAAGCCTGAAGGGATCCCATGGCATTCGGGAGAGATGCTCTTCTGGTATGCCAAGAAGGCGTTGTTCAACGGTGTCGATCAAGACGTCGTCAACATGCAGCGGAAGAAAGACATACTGTCTGGTGACCTCGAGGAGAAACATGCCCGTGCCGCGCATTACGATAATAAGGCCGAGTTCATGTACTCGTTCCTTCAGGTCATGACTGCGTGCACTGCGTCTTTCACCCACGGAGCCAACGATGTGTCGAAGTGAGTGGCCTCCCCTACGAATTGCCCAATCGACACTTTCCCCTTTCAATGGGTGTAGGCTAACAACCCTCAGTGCAATCGGCCCCTTCGCCACGATCTACCAGATCTGGCAACTAGGTGAAGTTCCTAGGAATCCTGAGGTTCCCGTCTGGATTCTTGCTTTCGGCGGTGTCGCTATCGTCATCGGTCTCTGGACCTACGGATACCATATCATGGCCAACCTGGGTAATAGGCTCACGCTGAACTCGCCTTCTCGAGGTTTCTCCATGGAACTCGGAAGCGCCGTCACAATCATCCTCGCTACACGTTTGAGTAAGTCCACTCTCTTAACGTCCCGCCTGTTTGCATCTTATCTAACTTCGTACTCTCTTTTGCAGAACTCCCCGTCTCGACTACGCAGTGTATTACCGGCGCGATCGTTGGCGTCGGCCTCTGTAACGGCGATTGGAGAGCGCTCAACTGGCGGATGATTGCTTGGATCTATGGGGGCTGGATTCTCACTCTGCCTTGTGCTGGTATTATCTCCGGCTGTCTTATGGGTCTTGTCCTGAACGCGCCTCATTGGCATTGAGTATTTCCGAACCGATGGCAGGACTGATGCGCTGTACATGAGAAGTCACATTAGGACCATGTGATCATGTCAACACCGAAAACACCTTCGTAGGGGGGCAATCTAGGTTGTACTGAGTGGCGATTTCTATTCCTTGATGGAAAATATACCCATCTTTTGATTTAATGTCGCCAAATTTCGTGTGCGAATCTCATACTCCTATTGGGGATTGAGCTCTAGATTCGAAAGAATGCCTCTATTCCGTCGTTAGTGAAGTAGAATGTTCTGCCCAGCCTCCTTTCATACAAGCTCCGAATAGCAGCTCAATCACGAACGCGCGCTTGACTGCTTAATAGCACAAGTAATTAATACATATTATTCCATCAATCATGGCCCTTATGCAATGATAAAACAGACAATTGATCCACAGAACTCATCGGGCGAGTCCTAATTTCTATCAAAACCAATGCGGTTTTGCGAGGAGAACCCACAAGTGGCTCAGGCAGAAGGGCATCAATTCCGTAAGCCACGAGCGGAGCCCCTTGGGCGTGAAGCCCAGAGCGTCGTGGTTGTCGCCGAAGCAGAGCTGCAGCGCGAGGGCAGTCGCCAAGGTCGCGTCTCTCGCGAATATGGTCCAGTACACGATCCTCCGGCTGGACTGCGCCGCCGGTGTTCTCGCCGACGCGAGTAGCATGGAGATGCCCAGCGTGAAGGTCTGGGTGCCCAGAAGGCGAGTCAGTAACAGGGCCGCTGGCGGGATTGGCGCCGCCACCGCGACGGTCAGCGGGGTCTCGGGCGAGATCATGAACATTAAGCCCCCGGCGAGCTTCATGAAGCCTTCGATCAGGAATAGTGTCCTCAGAGGTGATTCGGGCTTGGATGTCATTGTGCCTTGCTTCTTTCTCCTAACAGCTGATGTTAGCGTATATCCAGCGCGACTCTTCGTCGTTCAGCCGGATATCCCGGTCGAGTTACGGTCAGATGACGGGGATGAGAACGTAGTGACTATGACTCGTGGTAAGAATCGCGAACACACCTTACACGGCTATGGTTATCATATAACTAAAATGAAAGTAGAACATGCAAATGGTAGTTCGATAAATGATAGAGACTAGACTAGTTCACATAGAAAGAGGGTGTTAGATTCTGGTTTAGTCTCATCTCACTCTGGATGAGCTCACCGTATTGCCGGGTCACAGCCGCAGACGCGAGCCAGGTCCAGACCATGACCAATACCACGCCAAGACATCTCGCGATCCGTGGCATTTCTTGTCTACCTTCCATCAGCCGCATAGCTTCTGATTCTTACTCGAGATTCGCTAAGCATGTCCTCATTCAAGATAGTTTCACCTTATCCAAGCCTCCGTCTTCTTGGGAGGGCGTCATGCGCATGATGCATTTGCAAATAGTACCTACAGTCTTCTGGTGGCTATGACAACGCCATCTGGTGGCATTGGGTCCTCGATGTCCAATTCCCAAAGTTCATT